TTCAAAGAACAATTTTCAGAATTTAAACTTCGACATCTTAAAAATGTTGTTTATTAAAGAACTACTCACTAGATTTAAACTGGCGTGTTATCAAATCGGAGCAGAACAGTAGGACGTTAGACCCCATTTCATTTCATTCCATTTCGTGTTATCAAATAGGGACGATGTTGTTTTATAATTGACTCCCTACCGAGCTAGATAAATTCGATTAGAAGAAATCACCATGAATTATGTTAAACGTGTGAAAACTTGAGATAAGATGAAGATGATACAGTTTACTAGTAAATCACACTTATTAATTATAGAGATTACCATATTACTTAATTCTGTATTATTTATATGACCTCCATGTGGTAACGTTACATGGCGTCATATAGTGACTGGTATTTAAGAGATATTGAACTAACAGCCCATCGATTCTAAGTTCTCTACAAATGCCTCACAACATTACATTACACAAACTTTTACACATCATTATATGGAAAAATAGTTATTAATTTAATTGGGCAGCGTTTCGAAGAGTATTAAATTGATAACGCCGAGGGATTATTCATGGAAACGTTGCTCAAATAAATTAGTAACTGTTTTTCCATTAGTTCAATATGTGTTTTAGTTTATTGCTCTATCAAATGCCTCTAACATTACATAACGCATTATTGAATTACAGACATAAATATAGTTATTTACAAAATATCTTATACAATTATAGATTACGCTATTTAATTATAGAACATGGTATTGAAGTAGACGCTATTAAGTTTTAAAATAAGCTATTGAAGTATGCGCCATTGAATTATTAGTTATTGAATTATGGAATACGCTATTGAAGTATGCGTTTTTGAATTATAGAATATGCTATTGAATTACAAATTACGCTATTGAAGAGTACTATTTTGAATTATGAAATACGCTATTGAAGTATACGTTATTGAATTATAGAATACGCTATTGAAGTATACATTATTACAATACAGGATATAATCATATAGCCAGGGGCAGTATTACTCTACAAAATGCATTATTATTAATATACAAGGTGGGGGGGTATGGCAGTACAGGGGATATTATTACATTACACGATGCATTATTACCCTACATAATGCAGTATTACACTGCAGGGGGGGGGGGGGGTATTGACTTACAGAAACCATTATAACATTATAGAGTGAATTATTACATAACTAACACGTTTAGCCTTACACGGTTTCTTACTGTTATTTTCTCATTATTTGCACTACGACCCTATAAAATGTAAGTTTTAGGGCTTTTTTTCTATGAGCCATTTTAGGTTTTTATGTAGAACTGACATCAAACGTCAAATAATCATTGCAGAAATATTTTCATAATGTTATTTGCCAAAGGAATGAGAATTTTAAATAGAATGATTAAAACAATCGTCACTTGAAGAGGGAATTAAAACAGTTGAGGAAATTAAAATAAATTGACAAAATTTTATGTGAGTCTCTTGTGTGAATCTTTTGAACCAAGAAGACGGAGCAATTACTACAACAAAATAAACAAATAAAATGCCTATATTCTGACAGAATGGCCTTATCTAAATATCCTCTTTTAAACCTAGACTCACACGTTGCTTGAGTTTATCTTCACCTTCAAAGACAAAATCTTCTCTTAACTGATACACGCAAATTTTATTACACAAATGATTCTTTGAGATCAGACCCGAATTTCAACACCTTCATAGTAAGACGGTCACAAAAGATAACCGTGGGTCGATCTCTAGTGATCTCGAATCTTTCCACCTCAGCTTCTCCAGCCCAGAATTGTTTTGAAAACCCACAGAAACAACACAGTAATAGGCGTATCAAATTTTCCAAAACAGAGGCCATTTTTGTTTGAAATTTACCCAGATCGTTTTCGTTCCCTCGCTGAAGAGCTAAGCGAAACATAGGATTGTTATTTCACTTTTGGTGAAAAGTTTGTGTTTCTAGCTTGCCTAGTTATTTAGCTGTTTTCTCCCCACGGCGAAAACCAAGACTGAACTTGTGCTCCGGTACTCACTGTGTGAAATTAAAGTTCTAATTCGCTATAATAACAATTTATAGCTCGCATTTCTATAATAAATAATCTAGCACCAAGTAGACTGACTTTTAAAATAAATATCCACAGCTTAAGTTGGACTCCAAGCTTTTGGGATAAGTAATAATAAGTTTTATTTGAAAATAAAGTCATATGTTGGACACAGTTTGATAACTGAAATTTACGTGCAGACATTGATGTTTAAAATAAATAAAAATAAGTTTATTTTAAAAAAGAGTCGTATGTTGGAGTTGGACACAGTTTATTAACTGAAATTGACTTTCAGTACATTGACGTTTAAAATAAATAAAATCCGAGATGATATGGAGAAGTAGATGTGTGAAGCTGTCAAAATAAGCAAAATAATTTAAAATATACATCACGAAAAGTAAATATTTTTACAATGATATTGAGAAATTTTAGGTAAAGTTATATAAGATAAAATAAAACATATGTTTTTGAAAAGTTTAATAAATAAACTATATGAATATTACGGCCCTTCAAATTATCACTGACAAGAGTGGTTTTGGGGGAGTTTTGGTCAATAAGGGGGGTTTGATGGCCGAATGGTTAGCGCGTGCGCACTGTATCATAAGGTCTGTCATTGAGTTAACTGACGTGGTTTCGATTCCCTGGTTGTAAGTGACAAAGGGTAGGGTCGCATGTCCAACCTCGTGGGTTTTCTCCGGGTCCTCCGGTTTCCTCCCACTGCTAAAGACCCCTACTGGCAAGCGATTTATTGAAATGAAATTAAACCATATGTTAGTCCCGAAATGACCTAGTTTGTGTTGAGTGGACGTTAACCCCCTCTCTCTCTCTCTCTCTCTCTCTCTCTCTCTCTCTCTGGTCAATATATCCTAAATTATTGCAAAAAGTCACCTACCAGGAAGTATATTTATTCTACACATTATATTCAATATTGAAATGATTTTATACAAATTTGAAAACATGGATGATTGAAATATTGACAAAAACAGTCGTTCTGACAAGTATTGTTACCAAACCACGGTTGTCGGTGATTAGTATAACTAACTAAAAATATTAAAATAATCCATTCGGTCTTGTTATCACTCTCACGCAAGAAACGATGTCAATAATTTTGAATATCGGCCAATAATTATGAATAATCTGAGACCCCCCCCCCCCCATCATGAAATGTCAATAATGTTCAATATAATGTTCAACATAATCTCAGACTTCCCACCCTCATAAGATGTTCAATATAATTTCCAACATAATCCCAGAGTTCCAACCCTCATAAGATGTTCAATATACATGAAATATCCAACATAATCTCAGACTTCCAACCCCATAAGATGTTCAATATAATATCCAACATAATCTCAGAATTCCCGCCCTCATAAAATGTTCAATGTAATGTTCAACATAATCTCAGACTTAACCCATCCTCATAAAATTTAAACCTGTCAATAACTTTGAATAACATCACATTTGTCTGCGATATAACCCTCGCTGGAAGCAGACGTGAAACCTCAGTTCCGTTTCAATAGACAACACAATTTATATAATGGAAAACAATGACTGGTTTATACACATATATCACGAAGTTTCGACAAATATTCTCTTAGCGTTTTCAAGCACAAATATGTTTGTTAATGTCCTCAATAGCCAAATGCCACTCAAGGATTAGATGCTATGGATCTTGAACTCAGTGAACCATTTACTTCCTTTTATCAAAATTACAATCTGATTAAAACACAGATCTATATTTCGTTTCGTTTTTTTTATACTTTCAATGACCTAAACTACATGAAGATCTAACAAGTTATAGCGATAGGTCACGTCAGGGGTTAAAAGACCGACTTATGACCCTATGACGTCAGACATTTGATTAACCAATCAGCATTGGTGTTACTAGTGGATTACCCACAGTTCCGTAAAAAACACGCCTAAAGCTCGCCGTAACAGACCGTTTCATTGGCTTATCCCTGACACCATTCAGAAAACGAGTTAAATAACAACTCTTCCAGATCCAAGTGTAGTAAAGACGAGTAAAACGAAATTTTGAACTATAAAAACGAAACGAAATAGGATCTGTGTTTTAACCAGATTGTCAAAATTAAATCTCTAAACGCTTTCAAAGGTTAGCAACATCGGAAATCATCCAACCAAAACCTATAGTTTAATAATGGCGAACTTTTTATATTGTATAGCAATTAAAAATATGTTTTCTATCAGATTATATCCAAATATCTACTGTGAAAATTAAATTTCTTGTAGGGACTGATTGTTATATAACTCTAAATTGATGGACGAGGGTGTAGTTGAGTTAAACTATTCATGCAATATTTTTTTTCTATCGCTTCAGGGTTAATATTTCTAACAATTAAAAGGGTATTATGATAGGTTCGCTAATAAATTGACAGTTCACGCTATAATAGTTAAAAACTAGGTAATGCAACCGGAATATCTTGAAAATTTCAGTTAAATTGCTGCACTCTGAACTGAGACAATAGCTTTTGGATTTTTGACTAGCCTCGATCATCATTACTAAATTCGGTGCGATCCAGTTTTACGTTTTATAATTTTTGCAAAAAATGTATTCCAATCCGCTAAATTTCGCAGTTAATTAATTTCTAATTAATAATTTAGATAACGATTTACCTCTTGCATAATGTATGTTTAAACGTTAGTTTAGCACTCGTGTTCTGGTATCGTCTGTATTGTCTGTAGTTTATCTCGCAACTATCCTGCTTGCATCGTCTATTAAGGAGAGAAATGAGGTTTAACGTCCACTCGACACAAACTAGGTCATTTCGGGACTAAAATATGTTTTTTAATTTTATTTTTAAATAATTCGCTTGCGCGTAGGGGTCTTTAGCAGTGGGAGGAAACCGGAGGACCCGGAGAAAATCCACGAGGTTGAACAGTCGACCTTGTCTATTAGGACCGAATATGTACTCTATCTGTATTCACTATATTTTGTGGATTTTTTTTTTCAGATTCACCGGATCCCTATAAACTAGATTTATCGGTGAAACCCCGGAAAGAAAGAACAGCCTTTACAAAACAACAAATAACAGAATTAGAAAAAGAATTTAATATGCATAATTATCTGACAAGATTAAGACGATATGAATTAGCTGTTGGACTAGATTTAACAGAAAGACAGGTAAATATATTTTATTTTATTTTCAATATTTTTGCCATATAGTGCGACGTTTCGGCAAGTCTTCTCTTATCGGGATGTGTGTGTGGGGGAGACGGGGGGGGGGAATTGTTAGCTATTGGTCTAGATCTAAGAGACAGGTGAATATATTTTATTTTATTTTCAATATTTTTCCATCTATTATGAGTATGGGGTAAAAAAAATCAAAGTTCACGTAGAATGGAATAGAAATATTTTTCCCGGCCCCGAATTCACAGAGCATTGTCAGACTTAAGTTAAAAATTTACTCAACTTTCAATCACTGTTTATGAGAAATATCTGTGATCCAGAAACACAAAAATATTCACATAGTTTTTTTATTGATGTATTTGATACATTAAAACAACTCAGATTTTATAAAGGGCTATATTTTAGTTAAAATAAGGCGAACAATTTTGAGTAAATTCTTAACTTAAGTCTGAGAATGCGTTCTGTACTCGGGGTCAGGCTTTTATGGGTGTGCATCAAAGAAATTAAAGTTCCCACGGAAAGGAATATTTCCTATAGAAAGGAACAGATAGTGTTTCTCTTTAAATATGCAATAGAAGATTTAGAACAATATATTGTATAATATTTTTGATGTGGTATTATACAAATCAATATCTGTCAGACATCAGAAAAAATAAACGAAATGGAATTGAACAAAACACGAAACAATTTATATTTAAGCAATCACGGGTTTGTATTCATATAGCACGATGTTTCGGCAAGTCTTCTTTTATTGTGGAGGGTTGGATGGTCGAATGGTTATCGCGTACGCGTTTTATCATAAGATCTGTCATTGAGTCAAGTTGTGTGGTTTCGATTCCCCGCTTTTACGTGACGAATATACAACAATACTTCATGTTGCAAGATTTAATTTAACTGATTTCATGTCACCTTTTCAGGTAAAAGTCTGGTTTCAGAACAGAAGAATGAAATGGAAGAGAGTTAAGGGCACTAAAGTAGCTAAAGATCGTGTCGATGGCCAGATTAAGCCGATCATGGGCTCGAATATCTCATCAACCAGTAACAACCTGGCGGACGACGATGATACAATGAATTCTAATGACATGGATTGTCTCGGTGATGAGAAATTTTAATACCGGATTTATGTTAGGAGTTAAAACTAAGGCTGTTATGTCTAAACACTAAATATAGCAATAGATTGGATTCGTATTGACCGTTTAAAAAAGAAAAAAAATGTGTTCCAATGGAAACCAATATTTAACACTCTGTAATATACATGTATCTGCAAATGTACGTGTGAATGTGTACCAGGTTTGACGTCCGCTTCGGACGGTTATATCACAGGCAAAATACCTTGTCCTAATGAAGGTGCCCGAACGTATACATTTAGCATGGACGTATATTAAACAATTTTATGACTTTCGTTTTTAAAGCGAAAGTAGAAACTGTTACATGTGTTCCGGGATATGTTCCCAGGGACAGAAATGAAAAGACAGTAAAGAAAGAAATTTTTGTCTCAGACAACTAAGTGTTCAGTGCATTTACATTTATCATGGACGTATATTAAACAATTTTATGACATTCGTTTTTAAAGCGAAAGTAGAAACTGTTCCATGTGTTCCGGGATATGTTCCCAGGGACAGAAATGAAAAGACAGTAAAGAAAGAAATTCTTGTCTCTTAAAACCAAGTGTTCCGTGCATTTGCATTTATCATGGGGACGCATATCAAATAATTTTATGACATTTGTTTTTAAAGCGAAAGTAGAATCTGTTACATGTGTTACGGGATATGTGCCCCTGGGTTAGAAATGAAAAAACAGTAATGGAAAAACATTGAACAACGTTTCTTGTCTCATAAAACCAAGTGTTCGGTGCAATATACGTCTGTATTCGAGATAAATTGTAAGACACGAAAGGCTTGAATATATCACCAATGACATCAGAGAAATAATGACCGCTTTTAAATCATGCTGATGGAAGTCTGTTTTGGACGTTATGTATTGAACATTATAATGATAAAATACTAATTTTGTCGTTGACATTTGTCTTATAATAAAACCTATATATTCGTATACATAATTATGAACTTAAAATGTGAACTGCTCATTGAATAAGGTTTTGAGTGAGGATATCAGATTTTAGAAACGGACACCTAGAAATGAACTAAGGTAACGTCACAGACAAAAAGGACACCTAGAAATAAACTGATTTATTCTATAAATACACTCGAGTGAACCATTGAATAACCCGAGCGGTATTCGGTGGTCATTGAGTTCTACCTATATATATTGTGTGGTAACGTTACAGACAAAAAGAGGCACAGTGTCCCCATGCCTACCACGCCCTATGGAAACGCCCAACTGTCTTCCAAAAATTAGAGAATTTATGAAAATATATTTGTTATACCTTTACTCATATCGTAATTACCCGTTCCACAATTTAAGTTTGTGTATAATGGCATTGATATTAAAATCTTATTAATAATCTTTATAATCTGAGAGGCATATACAGTTTATTCCAAACTAGCCATATGTAAGCCCCACGTGCATATCCCCCACCTACCCTTTCTCATCGATGCTAAGATGAAAACTAGCCATATCTAAGCCCCACGTGCAGACCCCCCCCCCCATCTTTTCTCATCGATGCTAAGATTAAAACTAAAACTAGCCATATCTAAGCCCCACGTGCAGACCCCCCACCCTTTCTCATCGAAGCTAAGATCCAAACTAGCCATATCTAAGCCCCACGTACAGACCCCCCACCCTTTCTCATCGATGCTAAAATGAAATGATTTCTGATAATTATTTTCCTTATCCAGGCCATAATCTGAATCGTGTCATTCGATGCGATATTTTGAAAATGTTTCAACCCGCTGCTGAAAATTGTTGGCGCCTTCACTGGAACAGTAACGGATTATTGTAGTCTCATAATACAGTTTATAGTTAATTTCAGCTGAAATATAAATTCAACTCAAATATCAAAATATATTTATCCGGGCCGTATAGAGATATTTCGTTCCGTTTTAATTTTCGGTTGTTTATTCCCGATTTAAAAGGCATAATCATTCATAAAAAATTGTATGACCATTAAAAATTAACGAAACGCAAAAAATATCTAGTTTTGATTAGATTATCAAAACAGTTGATACCGCCCGCCATTTTTTAAACCAGGAACTGGGGCGGGGGGGGGGGGGCGTTCTTTGAAAAAACACTTTTTGATATGATATCACAACTCCAAGATGACGATGATGACGTCATGTTCGGTTCCTGATCCATAATACTATCATATTTGTTTGTTTTTATTTTTAAATAATTTTTGCTCAAAAGTGACATTTGTTACATAGTTATATAATATTGTGTAATGAATTATTTTATATGCTCATATCGACTAATTCTGTACATACGTTATATACAATTAATGATTTAGATAAAATAATTGTTCATCAACCTTTCAAATATATTTTAATAATAAAACATTTAAAAACAATTTGAGTGCTTGGTTTTATTTTATTACTCTGTCTTCATTAGCCCAGTCTGAGCAGAACAGTAGAACATTAAACCCCATTTTATTTTATTTCACGTTTCTGAACCAACCGGGATGATAGCGACGGCCATACGCCATACAGTGTGTTATGAGGGAAATTTTGCCCGGGCAGCGGCACTATGGCCTACTCTTATATCGGATTCCAACTGCTAAGGGATCTTTTACGTGCACGCCAATGTATACACGGGACTTCGGTTTTTCGCCCAATTCCAACGACTAGACAGCTGTCCTTGTCAGGCCCTCCGTCCTGCACCACTGACAGGGGGAAACCACGTCGGAAAATCTAGATGAACGTTCTCGGCCAATGCCAGAGTCTTACCCACTTAGCCATCGTGTATCCGTATCATTTTATTCTATTGCATATTGTTTCCATATTTAATTTCTAAAAAATAAAGATGTAAAATTCAAATTCTAATTATATTTATGTCTTTGGGAAATACTTGTCGATTTTCAGATAATTCTGAGTTTATGTTTGTACTAGATTGTTTACCTTGTATGTTTTTTTTTTACATGTATTGACATTTTTCGACCGCGATAAAAAAAAACCTACCAAAAAAATTGCAGAATTAGCAAAATTTGTGAGACATGTCGCATGCAGAATTAATTCCGCTAAAATTTAAATTAAATAGAAAAACAAACAGGGGGAAGTGGTAGTCGCCATTTTGGATTACGTGGAAATCTTCGTTTATTCCGGCGTGTCATGAATGACATTTATCCAGTTTCTTAGCAACGACAAATATGGCAGACTTTTATACAAACATCGTCTTAGGGTAGGTAAACTAATTTGTGATGAGGGGATTTGGCAAGGATAATATCTTTCACAGTAGGGGTTTGCTTATTTTTGCTAATGTTCTGGCAACTCTGAAGCTTAAAGTCAAATGGCTCGACGCATCATTATTCTTTATAGCGGTTCATTAAATCGTATTTACTTCGATTCTTTTCGCTAATCAATCAAAAATACTATTAGGAATTTTTTATGACGCCATTGTTCTTTGTTAATTATTCAAGATGAAAACGCAAATAAAACCTGACATTTTCTTCTTTGACTGACATTTAGTAATTGGAACATAATCAAATAACACACTATTTAAGAATAACAATTACCGTGGTTTATTTCTCTGCGACGTTTCAACAAGATTTCTTAAGTCGTTATCAAGCATATAACACAAAATTCTGACATTATTACAAACTATCACATTTCCCCCCAAAAAAGAACAGCATGTAATTTCTACTTTTATTTTGCAACTAAGTCAATACGACTTTTCATGTCGATTAGTAATAGTAAGACTGGATAGTAAGCAAAAGACTGTTTGCTTTTAATAATTTTAAATTCGTTTTTGGCTTTGACTGTCAACAAGGCCTCTATATGTGGCTCTAAAAGTTTTAATGAAGACAAACACCATCACAAAAAGTAGAATATGGCTTTCAATCAATAAATAGTTGAGTAATGCTCTTAGTACAATCGATGCATATGGATTTCCGCACCCACGGAGTTATATTTCCAATTAATGGGCCAAGGAAATGAGGATGGTTCAAATTCTGATCAGACAGAAACGTGCACTTCCTAAATAATTCAGACCTTAATCAATTCAATACTTGTAAAATCTACAATTTGAAGAAAAAAACGTCTCTAAGCAACTGTCTTTAAACCGAGATCATTCAGTGGAACATCCGATCTAGCACCTAGCAGAAATATGATGTTTATTTTCTCACGAGGGGGTCGTAACGTGAGTACCTTTTCCTAAATTTGATGCCATCCTCGCCCGACCCGAGTTCAACTCAAACGACCAACTCATATGTACAATTAGACGAGAAGAATTTTTTTCATGCTAAGCTTCAACACACGGCCAACAGCTGCAAAAACGACTAAGTCAGATTTGGAATGAGAGAGGGAGATATAGCGAATAGAAAAAAGATAGTCAGATGTTTAAGTCGTTAGAGATATAGTGCCTTATTCCCGCCATTTGATGACTTACACAGATGTGAGGTAGGAAAAAGGTTTTAAACTGTAGCAGCTATATAACAGCAAATAAAACGGGTTATATAGAAAATATAAAAAAATGTAAAGCTTCCACTAATTCAACCACTTAAATATTATAATACAATACCTCCAATACAAGTCAAATATTATAGTATTATACCTTCAATACAGGTCAAATATATGATACAGGTTTAAATATTATAGTATTATAACCTCCAATACATGTCAAATATCTGATACAGATTTAAATATTATAACAGAATATATCCAATACACGTCAAATATCTGATACACGTTTAAATATTATAACAGAATATAACCAATACACGTCAAATATTGTAGTATTATAACCTCCAATACACGTCATATATCTGATACAGGTTTAAATATTGTAGTATTATAACACAATACACGTCAAATATCTGATACACGTTTAAATATTGTAGTATTATAACCTCCAATACACGTCATATATCGGATACACGTTTAAATATTACAGTATTATAACCTCCAATACACGTCAAATATCGGATACAGGTTTAAATATTATATCATTATAACCTCCAATTCAAATATCGGATACAGGTTTAAATATTATAATATTGTATCGAAATTTTAAGAAATACTGCAATTCGATTGGCTGACAAGTAAAGTCAATTTGCATATATCCAATGAAGTTGCAGTATTTCTTAAAATTTCGGTTGTAACTTAGTTTAAGTTTTCGTGAATAAGGGCCCTGGTCGTTATTTCTATAGTATTTCAATAACAGATGATGAAATGTGAATATATTGAAATTGTTAGCCCAAGTACTTTATCAGGAGTGAAGTTATGAGTGTTTGAAGTTTAGACAAGATTTTGCCCAAATAGTCGGGTTCGTCATGTACCATTGCTGCGCTATTTAACAAAGTCCCGATTATCCATTTAAACAGGGAGGTTGGGATGGCCTAGTGGTCTAGAGTGCCGCGCGTCGACCGCTAGCTGGCCGGTCACCTGGTGTGAGCGTATGTGGCTTGGAGAAGCATCGCCTTCTCAACCTCGTGGGTTTACTCGGGGTACTCCGGTTTCCTCCCACAGGAAAGACCCCCCCCCCCCCCCGCGTGCGCTAAGATAATAAAAAAAATGAAAAATAAGACTTGTCTGCGATATAACCTTCGTTGGAAGCGGACGTTAAACACTAACAATACAGCAGGATACCGCAATACACTTTCCGACGTGGATTCCTCTTGTCAGTGGTGCAGGACGGAGGCAGGGGCGTGCTGGCAGGGAGTTTAGGAGGACGGTGTCCTCCCAGGCCCCCATTAAACAATAAGTTCACCCGTATAAGCGGCCCCCCATGAGAGCTCTAATTTTCACGCTGAATCCCCTCAAAAAATTGAGAGTGCGCACGCGAAAAATCATACATACACAACGATTAGTAAAATATATTATGCTGACGTGCAAATGTCTGTCACCTTAAGGTGAAATGGTCTTTGATTAAAAATTTTGCCGACTACAGCAAAATCATAAAGTGGAGTCAGAGAAAGGTAGCATCCTACAGAAGAAGAGTAC